AATGTAAATTCTCGAATGTATGTGCAACACACATCAGCATGTATATGTGTTTATAGTAATGTGGATATGTATGTATGTACATACATAGTTACTAAACAAGGAGGAGTTAAAGTGAGAAAAAAGAGCAAGTCGATCAGCAGTATGTGCATGTCAGTGCATGTGCAGCTGCATGTACATACACTCCTGGGCTCTTTGTTTATCCTCCGTACGGGCGTCACGCAGCGAACGCTGCGAACGACGAGCGGCTCAATGCAACCGGCCGAGGCTCGAGGAGAAACCGAAACGGCAGCAAGAGTCAGTGCCGAGTGGTGCCGAGTACGCTGACCTGTAGAACGGGTAGCGATGGTCGTTGACCGCGGTTAAGCACGATCCATTGTTTACATCAGCATACACACCTCGGTGCATCCTGAGGAGCAGTGCCTCGCACCGTATCCTCGTTGACGTCCCGATCGCCGATCATTATCATTCTCGGCGTCAGTAAACATGTCGAAAATAGCGGGAAACTCTCCCGCGAACAAAGGCGAACAGCAGCAGCAACAGCAAGAATTCTCGCTGGGCTTGGATAAAGACGCCAGCGAGCATAGTATCTCTAGCATGATGTCGTGCGTGTCCATCTCGCCGAAACACGCAGAAAGTAGCCTCCGGGTTATGGAGAGTTATCTGCACAAGCAACAATTGACAGACGTCACGCTGATCGCGGGTGAGTGTACCGAGGCTCCGAACGTCCGAACGCTTTGTCTCGATAACAATGCACCTGCCGATGTGTCACCTGCCAATTAACATTATGACTCAGATGATGATTAATCATATGTTTTAATTAATAACCAAGAATTATTAATGTATATATTTTTATGTATATTTTTTTATAATTATAATTCATAGAAAAATTCTTTTTATTATTATTATAAGTTATTAGAACCATTTTTTGCTGGATAATTTGCTATTGTTATTTAAAATTTCTAACTAATAAAAATTGAAGAGATAGAAAAATTTTTTATATAACATATATATTAAAATTTTTCTTTGTGCTCAATATAATTCAAAGCATCCTATATTTTTTTTGTCTGATTTATCCTCTCTTCAGGAAATAAACGTGTCCCAGCTCATCGATTAGTCCTCAGTGCTGGCTCTGAATATTTTGCTGCCATGTTTACAAGTTCTTTACGAGAGGCAGCACAAAATGAAATAGAATTAATGGATGTCGATGGAGATGCATTATGGGCTTTAGTTCTTTATTGTTACACAGGTAATCCTATATCAATAGATATTTAACTAGAAAGTTTCAGAATTTACAGATTTTTTTTTAAACTATTGTTAATTTTTATTGACATACTTTTGTATATTTGCAGGTTGCATAGAATTACAAGAGGATAGTGTAGAGACTCTTCTTGCAACAGCGTGTTTATTACAATTGAATCCAGTTATTAAAGCATGCTGCCAGTTTCTTGTCAAACAGCTCCATCCGAGCAACTGCCTGGGCATACGAATGTTCGCTGATACGCAGGGTTGTTCGGAATTATTTGAACACGCACACGCATACACTACCAAACATTTCATGGAAGTTACAAAAAATCAAGAATTTTTACTGCTATCTGCCAACGAAGTTACGAAATTACTGGAATCAGAGGATCTTAATGTTCCCTCAGAAGAAACTATCTTTTATGTAAGATTGACTACATGTTATATATAAATTATTTTTATAATGTAAATGCAAAATAAACTACATGTTGAACAAAAAAATTTAATAATATAAAATATTACAAAAAATATGTTTAAAATTTTTTATACTATTGATTATATAAGTATATATGTTTCTAATTATGTACAAGCAAATATTGTGCGTGGTGTGTGCATATATATATATATATATATATATGAATTAAGATACAGAGAATAATAGTTTCTATTATTATTATTTCAGGCTCTAGTGACTTGGCTGGAACACGATTCAGAAAACAGAAGCAAAGATGCCAGTAAATTATTAGGTTTAGTCAAATTACCATTGCTATCGCCAGCAGTAAGTTCGCCGCTATAGCTCAATTTTTTTACTTGACACGACTTATGTATTAGATCAACTAATAAATTAAAACAGTTTATAGCTGATAATATTGAGAGTAACGAAATGTTCAAAGACCAAAGAATGGCGCAGGAATTAGTAATGGAAGCATTAAAATATCATTTACTGCCTGAGCGAAGGCCTTTGCTTCAAACAGGTAGAACAAAACCCAGAAAAGCTACTGTAGGTACATTGTTAGCTGTTGGAGGGATGGATGCTAATAAAGGTAATTTATTATGTGCAAAATAAATTATTTAGTAGTTGTGGATTAATATTAAAAAAAACATCAATACCATGTCATGCTATTTTAATTTTTTCAAGCGAAATTTGCAATATAATCTCCAGGTGCAACATCTATAGACGCATTTTCATTGCGCGATAATGCCTGGAAATCTTTAGCTTCCATGAGTAGTAGAAGATTGCAATTTGGCGCGGTAGTAGTCGATAAAAAATTAATTGTCGCTGGCGGTAGAGATGGTTTAAAAACACTGAATACAGTAGAATGCTTCGATTTCTCCACTCTTACATGGAGCACTTTACCACCTATGAACGTTCATCGTCACGGATTAGGTATGTGCCTAATTTTAAAAGTTAATACGCAATTTTATTTATAATAATAAAAACCGTAATATACTTATAATAATAAAAATCCGATAAATATATTAATTTTTTTCTCAGGAGTAGCAGTATTAGGTGGACCTTTATATGCAGTTGGTGGCCACGATGGTTGGAGTTTTCTTGATGCAGTAGAGAGGTGGGATCCGGCAACGCGTCAGTGGAGTTCGATATGCCCTATGTCCATACAAAGGTCTACAGTCGGTGTAGCTGTATTAAATGATAAGTAAGTCTTTACAGATAAATTATCAAATTTATGTACAATATCCATTTTCAACCGTTTTTATTATATAAATAGCTTTCATATGGTTTACTTTATCAATTTTTAAGCAATCTTATTTAATATCGAATTTTTTTATTTTGATGCAATTTTTTATGATATTTTAGATTATATGCCGTAGGAGGAAGAGATATCAGCTCCTGCTTAAATACTGTAGAATGTTATGATCCGCATACAAACAAGTGGACACCGTGCGCGCCTATGTCGAAGAGGCGAGGCGGTGTAGGCGTAGGAGTAGTAAACGGTTGTCTTTATGCGCTCGGTGGTCACGATGCTCCAGCTAGTAATCCGAATGCTAGTAGATTCGACTGTGTTGAAAGGTGAAGCTACTATTACGTCAAATATTAAAATTTTCATGTTATGTATAATGCAATGTAACAATGTAGGTATGATCCTAAAACTGATACATGGACTATGGTTGCGCCAATGAGTGTGCCTCGTGACGCGGTCGGTGTATGCGTGTTAGGTGATCGACTTATGGCCATAGGAGGATACGACGGTCAGCAATATCTTACACTAGTAGAAGCCTATGATCCACATCTCAATGAATGGGAGCCTGTGAGTGTATAAGCTATTCCTGTAATTGGATACAATACAAAAAATAATGTGTTTTATAAATTTTAAATGTGTTTATTAAGTTTATAAAGTTGTATTTATTAAGTTTATAAAGTTAAATGTTTTATAAATTTTAATATGTTTATGTTTGAAGGTTGCTCCTCTTAAGGCTGGCCGTGCAGGACCCTGTGTTGTTGTAAAAAATGTAACCAATGTCATATAAATAATTTTTATTAAACAATCAATAATTCGATTTACTATTACGTAATTTATATTTGTGATTATATGATTTAAGTGTTTCAGAAATATAACAGAATTTGTTCTCTTGTGATATCGCATGCATGTTAATTAATCAAACTGTCATTTTTCTGAAACAATTTTAGACAATTTCATATTTACATAAGTATTATATTTCTTCTTAGCATATAGTAACTTTTATAGGATTTTTACACAATTTCGTACTGTACTGAGAAAATTCCAATCATTGTAACCACCAAACTATATATTTAGCATTTATTTGTACATAATACTTCAATTTTATATAAATTTTCAATATAATGAATAATTTTGCTATTGACAATGTGTGATAATTTGTATCATCGTATTATATAATCTAGAATATAAGTACAAACATTTTCAATAAAATATATAATATAAATCTAAACATATTTTTGTAGGATATAAAACTAGGTTCCTATCAGGTCGAGCTGGATGACTCCACGCCGAGACAAATTCTTGCTAATATGGACGAGACTCGGGGGGTAAATAAATATGAATATGGACGAGAATATGGAGGCCTCGGTTCACGTCTCAGAATCGATGAAATGATCAACGTTATGTATCCGTATGACAGCCAACTTCGGGATTGGAATGAAATAAAAAGATTCAGGGACGAACGAGATATGCCAAGATAGCCGATCTGTAGGATATAAAACTAGGCTGCGTTCAGAATCATCATCTGAGTACACTCAAATATCGTGTTATCCTTATTTATCATTCGTGCAACAAGGATAAGACAACACCTAGGTGCATCCTGATGACGATTCTGAACGCAACCCTATAATTCCTATCGAGTCAGGCTGTGTGGCTCCGCAGCGAGACGGTTGCTTGCTAATATGGACGCGACTCGAGGCCTCGGTTCAAGTCCCGGCACCGGTGGAACGCCCAACATTTTTTCTTGGCATGGTTGCCTACATTTTCTTTCATAAAAGTAACATTATTTTTCGTAAATATCTACATTTCTCTGCATATAATAAATCACATAATAAATTGTACAACCATTTTTGTTAATAATTTTTTAAGTAAGCGACATAAATCAAAAGTGCTTGTGAGAAACTTGAAAAAATAAATATATTTCAGATACAAATACTCTATGTAATTGTAATATTTATGCCAAATTATACTGATAACTTTGTAAAAATCGTGGTTTAATAAATTTAAAAAAACTTCGATAAAAGAAGAATATACATACATAAGAACAAATTTATTTTCCTCATCAAGATAAATGTTTTTATTTACATATGATATATGTTACTATATTTGGCGGTTATAATCTCTGAAAATAAATAAAATATCAACTAATCAAAAGAAAACATGACATTCCATATGTTTACATTACGACTGTTTAATTTCTTTCTTAACAAGCCGGAAAAGTCCTAAAATAATAACAATAAATTATATATCTTTCACATAATTAGAAATAAAAATCATAGAAAAAAGATGCACTATATCCCATCTTTCCAAAAAATATCTTGTACTATCAATGAACTTTTAAATTATGAAGATAAAATATATTTTAACTCACCTTGGAAAATCCGACGCTGGCTCTGCAAACTTGTGCCTAACCATAAAAGTAGCAATAGCTTCCGCTACCTTATCCGGGACATCTTCGTGAACAGCATGCCCACAAGCAGGCAATACTTGCATTTGGAATTTACCTATTTTTACAGAAAAAATACTTTATTGAAAACTATTTTATTGAAAAATACTCAAAACTTGCGTCGCAGCATCAACGCGCATATCAACATTGAAAATTATATACCTTGCATTTGTCCTACAGTGAGCTCGCGATCTAATCTATCGACTCCTGCTAACAATAACATTTTCGGTGCAGAAACATTTAAAAACGCCATCGATAAACCCTTAAACCAGCCGAACCAATGCTGTTCCGTTTTTGCCAAATCTATTCTCCAGACATATTTTCTGTTAGTAGTATTAGCAGCAGAAGATATAGGTGGTGGCGGTGGCATATTGGATGACTCTTCCTCTTGGATAACATCTCGCGGTACAACTGGCTCTGGATTAGATTCACACTTGTATTGGGTTGGCAATGAGTCAATATCATGAGTTGCTAATTTGCTAGTTTCAATGCTGAAATAGCACGTATGTTGTTTAACAAGATTTTAATATCAATATAAAGGTATTACAAAAATTTAAGTATTCTTAAGAACTCACTAACTTCTTTATCTGTCCAGGAACCGAGACCTTTGCCGATTGTATATTTCGAATTTGCCCGCTACGAACGCTGAAAACATTAATTAAAAATTAATTTACTAAAACATATATATATATATATATATATATATATATATATAAAAAGAGAGAGAGAGAGAGAGAGAGAGAGAGAGCGCATAAATGTGTATAACTATATAAATAATAATGTATTGACATGATCTGGAGAACTAAATTATAAGGGAAATTAAATTTAAATTTAAAAAACATAACATTTAAACAATATATTTGTTACAATAACGATGAATGTGTTAAAAGTATAAGGAATACTAACCACCATTCTATAGCCTGAGGTATGGTGCTAAAACTAGATGGCCGAGATCTTAAAAAACTCTGCATAGAAGCTAATGCATCCATTGCCGTACCTTCTACAACATCTATAACTGCTAATCCATATAAATTTGGAATCAATGGAGCTGCTCTTACAGCTACCGCACCACCCATACTATGACCAACTAAAATTATTGGAGCATCATGCTCAATTACATCTATAACAGCTGCAACATCCCTGGATGAAAAAAAAACAATATAATTTATTACAATGTAAAAAAAGGTTTTATTTCAAAGACTTTATGCACAGTAAATTACACATCAAATAATATATAAAAAATAAATGAAATTTTTATAAGCTTTTATATATATATATATAAATGTGTATGTATATATAGACTATTTTACATTCATAGAAAGTTTTTATGAAAAAACAAATTTTTATCATATTTATTCTTACTCGAAGATAAAAATGCATGGATTTAAAACATACAATCAAAATTTTAAAAAGTAAATGTACATTTTACTCACAATGCTAAAGTATCTGCAGACAAGTCATCATCATCTGTGGTATGAGTATCTCCATGGCCCCTAAGATCAATTGCCATGACTCTACACAATATCATTGTCATAATTGATTTCTAAAATTCATAATGCATATTAATCTTTTCTTCAGCATGTTATTAGCAATTACAAATGATACTCACTGTGAGTTCTGCCCATGTTAAACCACTATAACCACCACCGTGCAATAAAACTAATAATGGTCCCTCAGTACCCTTGATATAAACATGAAAAGTATTCTGTCCCACTGGCACATCCTTGGAATGATCGAAGTACGGATTCCATCGTGCTGGTTCGTAATCTTTTCTGCGCTGAGCTCCCCTTGACTTACCAAGTCTTAAAAAAAAAAAAGACATTTTTGTATACGCGATATTGTAGCAACTCTTTTTTTATTCAGTAAATTATTAAAAATTCCACTTTCGTACAATTTCGCAGGTTAACACAAACCTGGAATTCAAGGCAGAGAAATTGACGACCGATGGTGGTAACCTGGATTTCAAAACTGACTTTTGAAGAGCAGACATGTTAACGTATCGCAGATGTCAGACACTGTTGTGTCGGGAACGATCCTCGCACTCGTGCAATCATACATGCAAAAGGGAACACTTGGCAATACACGGTTGTGCACTTATGCAATGTAAAGGAGACGATGGGAAAAAGAAGCGTGAAAAGCGTTGGAAGTGGTATATAATTTAACGTTAATAAACCCGCCGGCGAAAAGAACGTCGAGGACGCGAAACTCACACTATCGCACACCGGTCACCGACGCAGGACGTTGCAAACGGCAGCGCAAATGGCGGAAACGGATTTTTCCTATTCTTTTTCTTTTTTTCTTTTATTGTTTGTCTAGACGTTGCTCAACCCTCTGGTTTTGATAATACTAATTTATTTTCGAGCATCACTGAGCTTTCTTGAATTATGTTGAATGCTTGAATGTCAAACATCGTCGATGTGTATTCGTGGAAAAATCGTAGCGCTATTTTTGCATGAGTTTTGGAACGCGTTAAAATCCCGCGATTTTAGTATGAATAGTCCGAATGATCCGAAACCCATCGAGAGAAGAGAAACGTCATAACCTTTCGATTTGTAAAAAAGAAACAAATATGTAATTTATAAAAATTAATATGTAATTTTCATATACATTTTAAGAGCATTTTTTTTATATAATCTTAAAATTAATTTCCAATTAATATTAGGCTATCGAAGTTTATTATTATTTAACAATTAATACATTTTAATCAGTTATTTATTTTTTGGTACAATTTTATAAATTTTAAAAATCAACATACTCAAGTGTGTGTGTGTGTGTGTATAATAATTATATAAATTAAGCTACTTATTTACTATGTAATATAAATAGTTTTAATACATATATGCATTTTAATATACAAATATACAATTATAAATTCTCAATTTCACTTTCTTGAAAAATTCAATAACGTACATAGTGTATATGTCATATGTTCATTTGTTTAAATGTATATAAATAACTCATAATAATCAAATATATATTATATTGAATATATGGGTCCTATATTGAATATTAAAAACCAATATATAGTTTTTACTATTGCATGCAATATACAATAAAATAATTAAAGAAACATTTTTGTAAAATGTGGGCTGGGGAAATAAAGAAAGAAGTTGCAACTTTGATGGTTCATACATATCCATTATGTAAGGTAAATTGATTTCATTTATAACACATTACAAGTCAATTTGGATATCTCAATTTTAATTACTGTAGAAATTTTCTTTAGTACAGTGATATGCCAGAAGATATGAAGCAGGAAGCCATAGAAACCTGTGTCACAGCTGTGGAAAAATATTCAGAGAATTATGAACATGCAGCTCGCATGATCAAAGATAATCTGGATAAAAAATTTGGTCCGCCATTCCAAGTAGTCATCGGGGAAGCTTACGCATGTGCAACAACATATCAAGAGAAATCACTTTTATATATGTTTATTGGAGGTAACATAGCAGTTCTTGTATGGAAGACGGTTACAGGTTTTTCATAAATTTTACATATAAAAGATAAATTTGTAGTTTCAAATAGTGTCATGTATACGAATTTTTTAAATATATATTATGTATTATCTTCTCACAAACAGTACTTTAAATGTTAAATCTTGTATATACTTACACATGCTGCCATATTTAAACTGCTCTATAAATAAAAATAAATAATTTAATAATCTGTACCAGAAAGTATTTCTGTATATTATTATATTTTATAAGATACATCTTAATCAGATTATCATCATTGGTTTTGTGTTTTTAATATGTTTAATTATGATAGTATAAAGTTTTTGACTTAAACACACAGTTGGACCCACACTGAGAAAACATATTCTTCCCCTTTTCTTTTTTGGTGACAGTTTATCTCACATATATATGCTTTGCACATTTATATGAAAGTACTTTTATACGTACATTCAAACACATTTATATACATGTATGTAAACACATAAATATATAAAATAAGTTATAATAGGTGTTAAAACTGTACACTATGCAGATTTCCAAATGCATATTGCCAAATTGCCAGCGCAATACATGTACAGGAGATGCTTCAATTGATAAGTTATTTCAAAACCATAGCCTTCTCCAACAACAGTATGCCACGACGCACCGAATTTTTTATCCATTGTCTCCTTGATCATTCGAGACACACTCTCATAGTTATCCGCGTATTTTTCTGCTGCAGTCACGCATAATTCCATCGCCTCTTGCTTCATTTCATCGGACATATCACATTTCTGTAAATAAATATCATTAAAAGAATTGTGTATTATTAAAAGAATTTATATTACCAAAAAAATTCCAATAATTTATTCAATTCATATATATATATATATATAAACACAATAGTAATATCTGAAATAATTTTCAAGTATTATTATATATTATGAAATCAAGTTGGATAACAAATACTTATTCATTCAAATAAAATGCGCGTAATTTTGATTTTAAATCAGAAGCATCGCTTCAATAATTGCGTAGCGAAACACATGCTTCTCGTATTGATCAAACGTTGCATTTACATCTATTTACGCAACGAAAACCATACAACAAATTATAATAATGCGACGTGCATTTTACTTACTCTACAAAACGGATAAGTGTGAAGAATTTTTACAACGTCGTCCTTCCTCACTTCAGTCATTATTGCAATTTTACAAGCAAATGCGCCTTTAACAATGCCAACACGAGTACTCTACACAGTGGCACGGTTGCGGTATCCCAGGCGCAGGTCAGTGAGTCAGAGGAGCACATTGTCTGCACCATCATAAATTATCCGTCAACGATATTTATCGACATTTATATTGTATTAATTAAAAAAATTATTGATTATCTCTTGGATATATAGGCATGTTTTTTTATTATTATTTTTAGTTTTACCAATCAAATTATATATATATATATATATATATATACACACGAAACAGACGCTGTATTTATATATGAGATCACAAATTTTTGAAATTTAGTGAGTCATTTATGTTGATTTATGTTATTAAAGTAGTGAAGAGGTTAACATCTTAATTTAACACTGACATTTATTAGTCAACGTCTCTGTTCATTCTTGTTATATTCATCTTCACGATAATCTGTAAATTATAAAAAATAATCTACAATTGTATGAACAGTTTTAATAACCTTGAAATATAAGAAATATTTATTAATTGGAAAACATTGTCTTTATAAGAGGAAAATATATTTTTTTTATAAGTTTCTTTTTTATATACACGTTTACAGAAAATATTTACGGAAGAAATAAAATTTGGAAAAAATGGCATCAAGATTCAGTGGAGCATTGCAAATTACAAATCTGGATGATTTCATCACTCCATCACAGGTATAATATGATCGATATCATTCTATATTGGATCTAATTTCCAAAAAAGTGCTATTTTAAATTAATTTGTTACAGGAATGCATTAAACCTATAGAAATGCAGGCAAACAAAAGCAAAACAGGTGCAAAAATAAAAATTCAATCAGATAATGCTCTTTCAGCGATCAATGAAGTAAATGTTTACACCGTTTATTTCGCCAAAGTATAATCCAACATTAAACTTTCTATTAAAGTTTGCTTTATTATACAGATTGAACAACCTGGAAAATTACAAAAAGTTGAGATCACACTTACAGACTGTTTAGCTTGCAGTGGTTGCATTACATCTGCCGAAAGCGTGCTGGTTACTCAACAAAGTCGAGAAGAATTGCTTAGAGTATTTCAAGAGAAAGTATTTCAACAGGTAAAGAATAAATGTTACTACAATGTATAAATACTTTGTAAAATTTTCTAATTTATATGTAAAAATAGAGATTTTATACATTAAACAAAATATCAAGTATTTAAATATCTATAAGAATATATAAAGATATACAGTATTAATTACTGATTCTTTTATAAATGTAATATGTTAAACTCTAAATTTATATATCTACAATATTTGTCTTTGAATGAGATATACGAAATTGTTAAAATAATTTTAATTTATTTCAGTTTTTGTTGTTTTAATATCAGTATCATATTTATACTTTTATAGAATGCAGGAAGTACAGATTCTAAGTATATAATAGTAAGTCTGTCAGTGCAACCAGTGTTGTCACTGGCACAACACTATGAACTTACCCCCGAGCAAGCTCTCCATAAACTGGCAGGATTTTTCTACAAATTAGGAGCTGATGCAGTATTGGATATGACAGTTGCTGATGATTTTGTTTTATTGGAAGCTGCCAAAGAATTTGTTGAACGTTATAAAACCAGTAAAGAAGGCATGAAAAGTCAGTTACCAATGTTGTCCTCTTCATGTCCAGGTAAAATAATTATTTATTTATGAAAAAAATTGAAAAAAAGATATTAGTTAATTTACGAGATTTATAATATTCTTATTTCTAATAGGTTGGGTATGTTATGCTGAGAAAACTCATGGAAATTTTATATTGCCATACATAAGTGTCACAAAATCACCTCAACAAATTATGGGATCATTAGTAAAGTACCACTTAGCTGAAATTATGAATCTGTCGCCAGAACAGATATACCATGTAACCGTAATGCCTTGCTATGATAAAAAGTTAGAAGCTTCCAGAGAAGATTTTTACAATCAGCAAAGAAAGACGAGAGACGTAGACTGTGTCATAACATCAAGTACATACATATATTCATATTTTTGCATTAAATTTAGAGTTACTAAAATTTAAGTTTAAATTATATCGTCTTTTTATCTTTTAGTTGAATTAGAACAGATGCTACATGAAGATGGTTTAGTGTTGAACGAAATAGATGAAGGTGAAATTAAACAACCATTCGGTTCTTGCAATGAAGAGATTGGAAATAAATTGTTGGGTCATAGTGGCTCAGGATCAGGTGGTTACGCAGATTTTATTTTTCGTTACGCAGCAAAGAATCTTTTTGACGAGGACAATGTCACAGTGAATTTTAAAAATCTTAGAAATCCTGACTTTCAAGAGGCAGAATTGAAAAAAAATGATCAAGTGTTATTAAAGTTTGCTATTATTAATGGATTCCGAAATATACAGAACATAGTTCAGAAAATGAAAAGGGACAAATGCGTTTATGACTATGTTGAAATTATGGCATGCCCATGTGGTAACTATTACTTTGCATAAAATGTTCTAGCATGCATGTAACATAAATAACTAAACTTAATGTGATTATTGTTATTAGGTTGCTTAAACGGCGGAGCACAAATAAGACCTGATGGAAATGTTCAACCTCGAGAACTTGCATTGACGTTAGAAAAAATGTATCATGAGCTTCCATTAAGCAAACCCGAAGAAAATAAAGTAGTACAGAACTTGTATAAAACTTGGTTGGGAGGAGAACATACAGACAAAGTTAACGCATATTTCAATACGCAGTACCACGAAATACAAAAAATGAATACAGCACTTACAATAAAGTGGTGATCAACATATAATGTTATAACAATGTTATATATCGTTACTTGTATAATATATATGTATATTTTGTATAGAAGTTCATTGGTAGATTGATTCTTTATTTTTGCACAATACAATAATAAAAATAAATAATTTCTAATTATTTAATGCTTACTTAAAGCCATAACTTAAATATATGCCACATGATATAAATAAATTTTACGTTCTTATATGTATAATATAAATAATAATGTATGTACTCTTAATATCATCTTATATATACAGGATTAAAATTACATTATAAAATAAATCACAAGCATATTTATTGTGTAAAAGTTATGATTGTATCTAAAATGTATCATAACAATTTCATATTACAAGTGTGTTTATACAAGCTTTTTAAAACGACACAGATATGATTATCACATATAAATAATATCACGATATACACATATAAGTAGCTGTTGTTTAAATACAAGTTTTTTTCTTATATATGTTAACTTTTAATAAATTTTGAATACAACACTATATATCTTACATATGTTATTTCTTAAAATGCGTTGTTACATATGTGTCATAAATAATATACAATATACACAATATATGAATAACTCTTCTTAAATAAAATAAAAATAAATAGATAAAAATATCACATTTGTGTTAACACATAAATACGATTGATAACAATGCAAAAAGAATACTCAGTGAAACATTTATTATAAATTCCCATTATCTGCTCATTTTTTTCTATACTTTATATTTTCTACCCCCCCCCCC